TCATCATCATCATCATCATCATCATCATCATCATCATCATCATCATCATCATCATCATCATCATCATCATCATCATCATCATCATCATCATCATCATCATCATCATCATCATCATCATCATCATCATCATCATCATCATCATCATCATCATCATCATCATCATCATCATCATCATCATCATCATCATCATCATCATCATCATCATCATCATCATCATCATCATCATCATCATCATCATCATCATCATCATCATCATCATCATCATCATCATCATCATCATCATCATCATCATCATCATCATCATCATCATCATCATCATCATCATCATCATCATCATCATCATCATCATCATCATCATCATCATCATCATCATCATCATCATCATCATCATCATCATCATCATCATCATCATCATCATCATCATCATCATCATCATCATCATCATCATCATCATCATCATCATCATCATCATCATCATCATCTCATCATCATCATCATCATCATCATCATCATCATCATCATCATCATCATCATCATCATCATCATCATCATCATCATCATCATCATCATCATCATCATCATCATCATCATCATCATCATCATCATCATCATCATCATCATCATCATCATCATCATCATCATCATCATCATCATCATCATCATCATCATCATCATCATCATCATCATCATCATCATCATCATCATCATCATCATCATCATCATCATCATCATCATCATCATCATCATCATCATCATCATCATCATCATCATCATCATCATCATCATCATCATCATCATCATCATCATCATCATCATCATCATCATCATCATCATCATCATCATCATCATCATCATCATCATCATCATCATCATCATCATCATCATCATCATCATCATCATCATCATCATCATCATCATCATCATCATCATCATCATCATCATCATCATCATCATCATCATCATCATCATCATCATCATCATCATCATCATCATCATCATCATCATCATCATCATCATCATCATCATCATCATCATCATCATCATCATCATCATCATCATCATCATCATCATCATCATCATCATCATCATCATCATCATCATCATCATCATCATCATCATCATCATCATCATCATCATCATCATCATCATCATCATCATCATCATCATCATCATCATCATCATCATCATCATCATCATCATCATCATCATCATCATCATCATCATCATCATCATCATCATCATCATCATCATCATCATCATCATCATCATCATCATCATCATCATCATCATCATCATCATCATCATCATCATCATCATCATCATCATCATCATCATCATCATCATCATCATCATCATCATCATCATCATCATCATCATCATCATCATCATCATCATCATCATCATCATCATCATCATCATCATCATCATCATCATCATCATCATCATCATCATCATCATCATCATCATCATCATCATCATCATCATCATCATCATCATCATCATCATCATCATCATCATCATCATCATCATCATCATCATCATCATCATCATCATCATCATCATCATCATCATCATCATCATCATCATCATCATCATACTTATATAAGCCGCTTTTATAATTAAAAAAACTTATATTCTAATTAAAATATTGCGATATTATGCCACATGCTTATTTAAATTATTGAATATTTTATTCCTAAGCTTGATAGTTGTTGTCGGTGGTTAATTGTCTGTAACATGTACTTATTGTCAATCATCTTTACCTACGATTTTTGGAGTTTGACCTTCTGTCCTCTTTATTTTTATGGTATTGATTCCTCATCACACTGACTCTATTAATAAGAAGTCCTGAAAATCATCAGTACCGTCTGTTAGGGTGTTAGATCCCCAGAACGTGGTTGACGAGTGCCTTATCTTGGATTTCACGTTTGCGAGAACGGACTTATCAGTTGACCTCGAGATTTCATTTTCCAACAGGAAAATCCTTGGCCGTGGGTGGCCACTGTGTGTTTTAGTGTGCCATTTTTGTGACTGTCCTAAGGACGTTTCTGTGATGTATAAATAAACGAGAGTTGTTTGCTTGATTGCATTATGCTTGCTGGTTGTTTGTAGAATATACTTTCTACACTTATCAAGACTTCTTTTTTCAATTTTGGGATCAAGGTAGCCTACCTAGAGGCTGGCTGATTGACTCGTTCGCGTTTATTGACTAAGGTGAACTCGTAATAGCTTTAAGCGTACCTAGTGACGAAGCTAACAGTTTCGAAGGCGCAGCATACATAGATCACACGGGATCCTGGAGTCCTATTTAAGAAAGCCTGTCGCCTTACTTGACTCAATGTTCGAACACTATATGCTCCAATATTCTGTTGGAGCTGTCATTTCTCGGCTGCCTTTACCGTGGAAGGGCATTATTTGAGGAATCTGAAGAGCAACGTAAATTTGCGTCGGTCTTAGACACCTGAAGGCTTGACCGCAGAGCCGAAGGGACGAGTGCTTGAGGCCGTACACTCACATCCTTTTTCTGAGAAGATCTCAAATTCTTAGCACCACAATTCAATTGACTGTTCTCATTGAGACGGAAATCTGTTAGTAAGGTGAGGTTTCAAGTTTTTAGGATTGACTTTTTCTCAACACTTCCTTCCTTTTGAGAATGCAGCATTGCTACTGACTCTGGTTTTCCGAGGGATAATCTAAGCCAAAATTGTTTGCTATTATCAGTTTTTCTTGCTTCGAATTATCAATCAGAATTCCAGGTAGCCTGTCGTTCAATCAATCTACTTTGATTCTGTGATGAACAAATATTTATACTTGTCTCTTGGGTGTTTGTGTGTGGTAAACAAATATTCCCTGTAGTTCGAAATCCTTCACAATCTCTCAATACGAAATCCACCTGACTAATCTGTTACATTTACTTCTCTGTCATAGTATAAAATGGTAAACACTAGGTTTGGTCATGTCATAGTGAACGAATGTGAATGTGCTCTTAAATAACAGACAGGTAAATACGTAAATTTACTTTAGTTTCAGTTTGTATTTGTTTAAATTTATTAAGATCATAAAATATTTTAATTAATAAATACACAAGTTTCCTATTGTCAGTGGTGATTTATTCACATTCGGATGTTTGCGTAAACATGAATAATCGATCGTATGTTATTGCCCACTTATATACTCTCCTCTCAATTGCCAATATGTTAGTTGCTTGAAATATCTGATAAATTATTTGCAACCACTTATATTTATTTCTGTTTAACTCGAATAACTTATTTTATGTTAGCATTCTAATATACGTTCACATTAACTTTCTCCACGTCATTTCTGTCGTCGAATAATTACTTCGTGAAGCCGTACACGAAATCGCGTTATTGTTTATTATCTGCTCTATGCTAGAATAAAATGAACTCAGGGCAGCGCCTCACGTAGCTTTCTTAAAGTTAGGTAACGCTGTGAGAAATAGTAATAGTGGGTATCAGAACGATTAGTATATTAGGTCTTGATATTATCTCAAAATATTACAGAACCGATTTAACTGGAGGATGTCGATTTGTCAACAAGACGATTGATACTCAAGCAGAAAAATTATCGATTTGAAAAATGTTATTTATTTAAATTTAATGACAACAACAGAGACACATGGGGAATAAAAACAAAGTTTATTTGTAAAGAAACTTTTAAAGTAGCTCCATGTGAATACTATCAACATGAGTTAGGAAGTATTATAAGCAGATATTATTTTTATCAAAAAAAAAAACAAACTAGGCAATGTCAGTGAATTTCAGAAAAGCGTAAAATAATCAAATGAACAACAAAAAGAAATAATTTTGTAGGCATTTTAAAACCACCTCGACCAATCTGAAAAGAAAAAACAAATAAATGAAACAAGGTGTAAAATCGTCACAGAAATTGATACCAGGAAACAATAAAACTTAGTCGAACTCTAAATTGTCGCATGCAAATCAAATATGATGAACAAAAAAAGGCATAATACAAAATGTAAGTAAAACACAATGAAAAAACCGGAAATTGAGTAATAAAAAGATGCCCATGGGCAGTGAGGTCGAATTAAAAAGAACAGTGTATAATTCGCGATAATACAAAGATAAAACATATCTATCATAATCACTGATAAGAGAGGAATATAAGATTTCCTGATTATTATTTTAAAAGAAAACTTAACAACCAATAAATTCGAAAGACAATAATTAGTGATTGCGCAAATTATATGAAAAGACATAAAAAGAAAAACTACAGATTGTGCAGAAGTCACAACCTGATCAGTTGATTCCATTACATTGTGGCTTTTATTAAAATGATGCAGAATGGATATGTCCACTCACAACAAATTCAGATATTTACCTAGTGTGAACATTGAAATTCACATTGTGTTCATTTCAATGTTTCAACTATCTCCATCGAAGTTTGTGAGCACACAAAGCAATATCATCATCAAAGCGTGATTGCGCATCCTACTTTGCATGTTTACGATACACTGATCGAAATGTGAAAGGATATTTTCTCGCATATCGACAACCTAACCTAACAATTATCTGTAAAATTATGAGTATACATGTTTCACTGAAGATAATGCGTTAATGTATCATATATTTACCAATATTATTGAATACTATGTTCGTATGTATGATAGTTGTTTGCAGAGGGGAATTGTCAGTCACACGTTCTTCGTGTCAGTCATTTGTACAACAAATTTGTGGACTATAAACATCTGCTCTCTTCATGTTTAATATATTTATCTTCCATCACACTTAATATGTTTTTCACATATCTTCACACTCAACTAAACCGAATTTCTGAAATGAGCAGAACGGTATATTTGATGATGTGACTTCTTTGCTAATTCATTTTGATTTGTCATTTGTAATATCCTGTCTAATGGTTGCTTCTATCGTTTTTCGATTCTTAATTCTGGCAACATTCATAATTTTAATTTATCCTGCTCTGGACATGCTCCATCTCATTTCGTTAAACCTTAGTTTGTCACCATTTCTTTATCTTGTTTATATCTCTCTACATTAGTCTTGCACAACGCATATTCTGAACCAGTGGTGTCTGCCACATACTATTATTGATACCAATGATTTATTGATTGAATTTCGAAACGTAATTGTATCAGAACATTCACTTACGCAAATGACTAACTAAAATGTTATTGATATAACTCTTAATGAAAAGTTCAAACGTTAATTCATATGTATGTAAAATAATGAAGTGTGATCTGTAAGTGAGACTTTGATTGTTGATTGCAGTAAAGAATTCGCATTGAAAACTGTATGCTCTCAGTCATCTCTGCAACGAATTCTTCGACTCTGCACATCTTTACTCCTCTTGTTTAAAGTACTATTCTATCATAACACTAAATGTGTTATTCAGATATAAACAGATTAAACAATACCGACTGTAAATGTTTGTCGAATCAGCATACACGATAATGTTGCTTTGATGTAAAATCAGATAGTCTGAACGGTAGTCACATCCTGGCCAGTCGATAGCATTAAATCGCGGCAATAAGTCAATCTAGCAGCGTGGATATTTTGAATTAAGCCAATGCCAGACTTACTCCATACATTAAAATTTAGAAGATGAGAGTTTGGAGATCGCAATAATTTGATTTAATATATGTGAGCCCAAAGAGTTCATTAGTTCGAAAAAATTGGTGGAATGCTTGATTCAAATAAAATTTTGTGTGTAGTATCTTAAAAATTGAAATGATAGGAAAGTTGAAATTTCACTTACATTTTTTTTGAGTAATACCTTCAAAAGTAGGAAATAAAAGAAATGTGACATTGAAATACTGTTGTGAAATCTGCAAAGTGGTATGGAGTAAAATAACCAGCAGTGAATACGCCGAAACAATGAATTGCAGTCATACATCCATGCAAAAATTGGTCGACTCTGAACATCTGTCCTCTTCGTATTTGAGATATCAATCTTCATCACACTGAATATGTTATTAAGAGGTGCTGTCAATCAACCATACCGACCATCATGATTAGGCGGCTCAGCATATAGTTTGATGTAACGATGACGTGAAATCATTTTAACTGATCAGCATTCACATCCTGATCAGTCGATTCCATCACATTGTGACTGTGATTCGATAATGCATTATGGATATGTCCTCTCACGACGAATTCAGATTTATACCTCATATGCACAATGAAATTTACACTGAGATCATCTCAATGTCTCAACTGTCTCTATTGACGTTTGTGAGCACACAAAGCAATATCATCAGCAAAGCGTCATCGTGCATCCTACTTAACATGTTTCTGATATATTGATCCAAATTTAACAGCAACTCCTCATGAAATTTCACAACTTACTATTACAATCATCTGTGATAATGTAAAAACAAATTTCAGGGAAAATAATGCAATATTAAATTAAATGTTTCCTAATATTATTGAATATTAAATTCGTAAGCATGTTAGTTTTGTAGTGGATTACATGTACGAAGAGAATGCTTTTGTTGAAATTGAAACATTTTTTATGATAACCATTTATTTTTGTGTTAGTTTAAATGTACTTTTTGTGGATAACACTTACTTACGCGAAAACTTACTGTCTATGTTTGCTGCAATAATT